ATTGTCATGTTTTTAGTGCATGAATCTGAATTGAACAACCTGATAATGCTCACTCTGGTTATTGTTATCTGGTTGCTCACTACGTGCTCTTGCGCGCCGAATCCAATCAATTAAAAATGAAAACTGTTGCCAGCGCGAGAAAAGAAATATCATCGGTTTTATTGATACATACATACATACGTCCGTATTAGCGTTTTATATAATATAGATTAATTATTGATTTTTAACTGCTTTAGAATTTAAAATATAAAATCAAATTTCTTGATAGTAACTATTATTTTTTGTGAATTACAGCGGTTGCTTATTAGAAAGGTTACTATAATTTAAGAGGAAGTTTTTACTAGGACCATTCATAAATAGCTTTTGGTACTTCCTATGGCTGAATATCAAATTTGAGGACAATGTTCTGAACTAAAAAAAATCTAAATCTCATAAGTAATAAATTATACGAAAAGAAAATAGAATTAAAGTAAGTCTATTTTTCACACTTACACTTTTAAAGCTTGCTAGTCTAAAATACTAGTTTAAAAGTATTTTCCCACCAATAAGTTTGTAACTAAATTATCATGTTTGATATTAAGAGTTTATTTACTTATATTCTATATGTTATATTTTTTAATGTATTTCTATAATTTTGAACCAAGTAAATGTGTATTTGAGGCTTTAAATCAAATCAAACATTAAATCAAGTCTTTCTCAAAGATTTAAGTTTGAAAGTCCGTTATGTCATAACTAAATTGCGATTAAAATATCAGTGATTTATAATTGTTTCAATTTGGTTTTAACTAAAGATTTCAACAAAATTATTTTTTTAGAATGCATAAAATTATTCCTTTAAAAATAATCCTTCCATAAAGCAATCCTTCCCTTTCTAAATAAAATAATCCATAAAATAATTCTATTCCTTTCTAAAATATAAAATATCAATTAATACCATTATGTATTGTTTAATACAGAGCATATTTAAATATTTGATTTACTAATGATAAAAAAAATTTCACTCAGTGTTTCTTAGTATTTAATGTAATGGAAATATTTAATTTTTATTGCATTAAACATATTTATTTCCTACTTAATTTGCAATGTATAATCGAAAAATGTAAATAGTGTTTTAGGTAAACTGGAAAAAAAAACGTGTTCGCAAAATTTAATGAAGATGTCTTTTCATAATATTAAAGGCGTTTCATAAAAATCAACACTTAAAACCCCTTTCCACTGACTTCCCAAACAAATCAAGTTACATAAATGTGAGATAGCTTCAAAAATTTTCTCAATTTGTGTATGATCTCATTTATAATTTGAAATTGACTTATTAGTGCTGTAAGAATTAAAATCATCATGAAGCTTATTTAAGCTGTTACTGGAGTCATATTTTAATTAGGTTTCATTCTGAATATTTTTAGTCTCTATTAATTCTCTTTAACTGATATGGGTTCAGCAGTTTCAAGCAAATATTTAGAATGCAAACATTATCTTCATTGCAGTATGTTTACATAGTTAAAAATATTAGTTAAATTGCTCTTATATAAACCAGAAAATCAGTCATTTTAAAACAAGACTTTTTTCATTGTAATTGCAAAAGTATGATTCTTCCTTTGAAACTCGCTTATTCTTGCTGAATATTTATCGTAAGTACTTTATAGAAGTAAATTGACATTTTGGTACTAGAACAGTTGTAAAGATGCTCAGTGAAATGAGTTTTAAAAGATTCTTCTTTCAAAATCCATTTCACCTAGCTCGGAATATTTATTATGATTACTTTCCAGTAGTTAATTACCATTTTTGTATTTGAACTGATTGGAAAGATATTTGTTGTTGTTTCTAGTGTCACTAGTCAATACCAGAGTCTGCTGGCGAAACCAAGTGATTTTAGGGTAGAGGATGCTTTACCAGTTTCTTCAGTGGCGCCATCTATTGCCTAGAATACGACTCGAGCCAAACACATGTCACAGCTCGTTTATATCTCTTATATATCCATTCATTCATTCATAGATCGTAATTATTTTCTGAACCATTGAACAATTTATCTCCAACTCTGTACCCACAGAAGAATAATTTGTTATAGGAATATAGAGGAATTCGTGACCCGACAGATTTAACGTGCTCAAGTCACCATTTACTAAATAGTCTTCAGCCGGCGGAGATCAATCTCATAACCACTTGCTCATGGGCAAAATGACCCACCTACCTCGCTATCCCAGCCTTATAAAGATAAAGTAAAAGCAAAGTAAATAACTTTACTATTTTTGCACATAAATACCACCAAATTACTTATTAATAAAAATTTCAGTTGAGAATTTTAGTATATTCGTTTATAAAGTTGAGGTACAAATTCGAATACAGCTATAAACTTGAATAAAATTTATTTCTACACAGACAAACGTAATTTATTTTGATTATCTATATATTTTCTGATTGTATTTATAAACACTAGTTTTAAAAAACCACAGTTTATACAAACAATCAGTAGTAAACGGGTAATATTTATTCTAAATAGCAATATTTTTTCTTGAAATGAATGAACCCAATAAATTGTAACGATAAGACATACTTATCAATAGAAAAATGTCAAAATATATCTCAAATTGTCGAAAATATTAATTTTGCCGCACACGATATTTGTAAATTTATAAGTAACTCGTAAACTTATCCTAATTAAATATTTCAAAGCACACTCAGAAGAACTAATGGCGTAATTAAGCTAAATGTTCTTCAATTTTCACTATAATGCTATCATTTCACCAAACAAATATTCGAGTTAATTTAGAAAGCGTGCTTAGAAAATCATGCAGTTGAATTTTCAATGGAAAAATTATTCATAATGGGGGTATTAAAACTGGAATGACGCATTCTCGCGTGCGTTGATTATGACATGCAACTAAAAATTATTGAGTTTATTGATATACGTGTCTGGCTTTTGCATGAAAATAAATATATTATTGAAAAATATTTAACTGGTCGTTTTAAAATGAAATAATTTATAAATAGGCATCGGTGCCTGTATTATACGTTTAATTGAAACTTAATTTCCAATTCAGTTACTCTTCAATTAATTACATTTCTTAACAAAATAAATGATTTTGTTAATTAGAAAAGGGAAACTTAATAACGATTCCATTCAGTTTTAGCATAAGTGAGCCAAAATACTTGTTTTTTTCTATAACTTTAATTTGTTACTTGATCATTTTTAGAAAGAATTCATCAATATTTTATGTTTATAAATTTAATATGATCACACACCGACTTGAAATTATAAATGAAATGTGTTTCACTTTTGAATGGAATTACATAAATATACATTAATTTTACGAATGTGCCATTGGCATACTGGAACTTTCATCCGAATATCTGAAGTCAAACAAATTGGTGAATAATTATCTTTTTACTTTAATTAAAACTTTGTAAAAAATAAACTAAAGTTAAAGATTAAACAACGAGAACTACGGTTACTTACATACAATTAAAGAGTGTGTAAAGGACACCATTATTTAATCAGTGGTTCATTAAATTACATAATATTTACTACTGGGCAACAAGGCCTCTAGGGGTTTTCTTTCTTTAGATAAATGTAACAAAGATAGATAAAGATCTATCTCTAGATAATCTTTAGATCAAGATTTTAAAGTAACCCTGTGACGTAATTTACAATAGTATCTTTACTTTAAATGGGTCCGCCCTATAAATCGGGTGTGACGTTTGGTGTGGCAGAAGTCATATTCTTGGCCATGGATGCCGCCTCTGAAAAACAAAAAACGCAAACTCTGCCTTAAATTTGCTCGGTTTCATCAAGCAGGCTTAGAACCAACCAATCAACCAACCAAAGAACCAACTTTAAATGCATTATAATGTTCTTAAGTTTTGAAACTATTATGACACAAATTTAACTTCAATAAAAACGATAAAAAACATGCTTTAAAATCTAATAAAATGTAAAAAAGCACTACAAATTGGTATTTTAAATTTTTTATTAGAAATATTTAAATCTTGTATACTTATAAATTTTCGATAATGTAATAACTAAAAGCTAAGAAATTGTATTTTTTTTTAAAATTTATAACATTTATGCAGAAGATTTATACGCAGAAAAAAAAGGAACGCACTTACTTTTAAAGCTTTTCTGAAGCATCTTTCTGCACTAATAAAATCTTTACTTTCTAATGCCATAAGACCTAATCGCATGTAAACTCTGTCTGTCTCTTTTCCTTGATCAACAATTCTCTCTAATCTGTAAAATAAAAGTAAATAAAGTCATGATGATGAAAGTATTTTCAGAATAATAAAACTTTCTGTATAAAATGTGATGCGATTTCTTAGAAAAAGGAACATTTATTTTTCTGAAACAAAATAAAATTTTAAGAGTAACCTAGACATTAAGAAAAGTGTTTAACCCCTGTAAAAAATCATACCAAAATATTACTGCTATGCATTGATTTCTTTTATGCAGAAAATTATGTCTTAATAGTGAAGATAGTTTTGATGCAAAGAAACCTGTTACTTGAAGTTAGAAAAAAAAATTTAACCAAATCAATAAAACTGACATTTGCATTTGCAACTACACTATTGTTTGTAAAACTTGCAACACCATGAAAGAATTATCATAAATTAATGAAACTACAGATAGAGGTACAAGAAAGAACGTCAGAAATCAGTATTTGAGCCCTCTCATCGATGAGAACCTGTACACGTTGTGGCTATGAATCTTACAGGTTATGAATATAATCCTAGAGAAAGGCATTTCAAATGATTTCGAGTGAGCCGCCGAGCAAGGAAATCCCAGATTCGCTCAATGGGTGACATATAAGGGGAATAAACAGGCCGTGGAAAAAAGTGAAACCTGTTTAGTAAAGAAGGCTTGTGCAGTGTTAGAAACATGTGCAAGGGTATTATCCTGCTGAAATATAGCCCCCGTTATACATCAGAGAATGGGGAAGATTATGCTTTCAAAGTTTTTCTTATGTAGCGATCACTGTTGAGGTTGTTACATAAGGATAGTCATTTACAATTATACTCATTCACTCTTCATACCATGATGCAAGGCGCGTGCGGTATGAAGCCATTCTATATCGCTTGACGCGTACTCGTATGATGGACATGAACTGTGTTGCTAGTTCTATTGAAGTCGGAGGTGCCTTGTTATTGAAGAATCCTGCGTAAAGAACTCTTGAACGCACTTGATGTTGTAGAATACGGTGACAGACAGTAAAGCTAGACAACGAAACACCCATAACCGTGCTTCAACTTTGTGCTAACGAACGAGAGAACACTGTACAGTTTATCACAGCGATGGGGATTTGATGTCTGTTATCCCTTGCTGTTGTGCTATTGAGTGCACCACTGTCAGGTTTTTGCCTTGTTTTGTTTCTCCTGTGCCCATTTCTTCCAACTCCATTTCTCTGTTGCTGCATTACACAGCGTACGAGATGCGATTTCTCGATACGAAAATCCACCCTCTTGCATGCCGACGATGCCTCCTCGCACGAACTTGTTGATATGGTCCTCTTCGCTTTTGACGAAGCAACGTTACCGCTAATTAAGCATTTACCAGAGACAGAAGACGATAAAATGATTTCAACGCTTTTCCCTTACATGCAGGAGACAGACCAGTTCTTGTTCCCCGCATGCGCAATCACTTAGTAATTCTAATCATTTTCATGCCTTGCCTCACTTTACAATGTAAGTTTGATTCAATTGTGGTGTTGCAATTTCCACTAACATAGTGTATTAAATTCAGGACGTACCTTAATATATCATATATAAAACAAATTTAGAAATTTGGAAAATAAAATTGTTCTTAAAATACTCAATTTAGAGAATTATATAAGCGAATATAGATTTATTTGGAAAAATATTTATTTGGAATATAGATTTATCTATAGATTTATTAGCATTTTTTGCGTAAATTGTACAAGACTATAATTTGATAACATATATCGCAGAGTAAACAAGCATTATTTAGTTCCTTAAAGTGTAATTTAGTGAATGCATGGTATAACTAAACTATCAAAATTGAATGACGTATTGCAAATTAAGCCTTATACGTAACGATCGCAAATTCCACATTCCTAATCAAATGACCATAAATCATATTCGCAATAAGCATGAAGCGCGACATGCTTGACCCAAGAAATAAAACACAAATCAATGCATCATTATTTTTAAATTATAAAACATATTAGAAATAACAAAAGTATATTTCTGGAAAATTTAATAAAAATAGGAAAAATATCGCGCCATATCAAGGTTATTATATGGGCATATACAAGTTAATTTACAAACAATGGAACTCCGAACTTAAACAGGAATGCGATTAATTATCACCAAATTTTAAAATCAGTCCACATTTTTCTCCTCTCATTCAATAAAAGACGCCAAGGCTCAATCAAATTCCAGCTTAAATTAAAGATTCCAAGACCACATTTCCTATAATCGCATCTCACCGTCCTTTCTGTCTATCGCCAACTGCACCGGCCAAGTGTGCCACTTTAGCTTATTAGCTGTTTCAATATTAGCAAAAGCCAAGAATTAGGTTGTTACGAGTCAATTAGAGAGTCAGTGTAGTCTTAACTTAATCAGATTTTCAAGGAATAATTTAGCTGACGCGTCTACCTTCAGAAAAGAAATATCTCTTTAATGACAGTGATTCAATTAATTCACCCTACACAACGAAATAATTCATTTAATTTCTCTGGAGAGTTTAAACATGTGTGTTCTGATGTTGAAATGAAATTAAAGTTTCGTGTTTGACAATTTACAATAATATTTACTTCTTTTTTAATCTATTTAATAAGGAAAAAACTTGAAAGGCTTGTTTAAATTAATTTTTTGAGTTTTTCATAACCGTAATATTTGCTGTTCGATAGCTTCATATTTTCAGTTAAGACACATATTTAAGAAATAAGCAAATATTAATAATATGTGTGTCAATCTCATTTGAAATTTTAATCTTCAATTTTCAAATTATATTAGTCTAGTTATTTGGATCGATTTAAGAATTCAATTATATTTAACCATTGGCATGTTTTCTCCAAAGGGTTATCCTTCTCTCTATATTAAATAACCGTAACTGCCGCAAACGACGCATCTGTTGTGGATGTTTAATTCAATGATACATTTTGTTTTGCATCACAAATTTATAAGATTTAGAAGCTTGAAATTATGAAGGTGTGTAGAAAAATATGCAAAATTAACATTCAGTAATTAGTTCAAGGATTATAAACTGTTAAACTTGCTGAGATAAATTACCCATAATGCAGGCCGCAGCTTTATTGCCTTAAATATTGACTATTCATCCATTGTTGTAAAACTATTTTTACCTTATGATATCTTTATTTATTTTATAAACTTTTGATCGAATTTATGAATTGATGTCAATTAAATAATAATAAAGAGAGAAAGAGAAAGAAGGAAATTATATATTGCCAGATATAACTCTTAACATTTGCAGTGAAATTTGTTAAAAACATACGGAAACTTAGAGCGATGAAAACCGTTCTCGATATGAATTGTTCGAAGTCTCGTCTCGTAAACGAGTAAAATTGCTTCTTATTTATTTCTTCTTATCAACCTCCAAAAGCTGTATTTCTTGGGTAAATTTGTTCCGTACATAATTGATTGCTTATCAAATCTAAGAAAACTTTTATTTTATTACGATTAATGTATTAACAAAACGTTCTTGCATAATGCTACAAAATTTGTATATTTCGAAAATAAAATGCTCTGTGTTTTTAGAACCTATTGACGTTTAAGGGTAAAATATTGTGATGAAAAGTAATTACGGGGGGGTTAACAAGCGGAGCCTTCTAGTTGTTTATGTAACAATTCCATTTTTTGAAGTGGCTATTCACTAAATTTCTTATATATAATTCATTTCATATATATTTTTGGATGAATAGATTTTTCAGCTAGTAAAAGTTCAATTACTACTTATAAATGTAGTTACTAAACATAATTGAAATCGTATTGAACTAGAATCAACACCTTTTAGAATTTTGAAAGCGTTTAGAACCATAATATTGCTCAAATTTGCTAATACATATTATTTTACTTCATAAATTTGATTATGACAACAGATTTAACTTGAGCAAACAAAATTGTTCAATTTTAAACCTTTATAAGGTAGCCTCTTTAAGGTTTAACACTGAATAGATTTTACAGCAACTGTATTGTTTTGCACTCATTAAAAAATTTAGCATATCTGTTCCACAACAACAGGAATAATTTAGTTCAAAAGAGCGATCTAAATATAATTTACCTAACCAACTGAACCAACATCACACATCTTTAAAAGATGTTTTTTCCTCTGTTGACTTATTAACACAATGTAAAATCTTCCTCAATCTTTCTTAGTTTCACAGAAATATCTATAAAACTTCTGCATTTTCCAGCAACTCTTATTTGACAACATATTTTCTTGTTTAACAACATATTCAAATTTCATTGAGATTGACATATTTTCGAGAGAGTTATCGTTATTTTGTAATTTTCCCCTAGTTTATGATAAATAGTGTATTTCACTTCTTAAACTTGACTATATGACAAAGAGATCAGCTTGAGCAAACAAATTGTTCAATTTTACACCTAAATAAGGTAGCAATTTTGTGGCTTAACTCTGAAAAGATTCTATTTAAACTGCATTGTTCCTTATTCATGAAGAAAATACACCTTATCTGTTCCACAACAACAAGAATAAAAGATTATTTTCAAAAACTAATTATTTAGTTCAATTCATTGATCCAAATATAATTTAACTAACCAACTAAACCAACACAACACGTCTTTCAAAGACACTTTTTTCCTTTGTTTATTTCTTTACACAGGATAAAGTTTTCATCAATATTTCATTAGACCCTGAAAGACGAGAAGTATAAATATTGCCTAAGGAACTTCATTAAGCTTTCGAGCGCTTAAAAATGAATTAAACGGTGGTAATTAATTTATTCAAAAGAGAAGATGCAGACAAGTTAGAGAGTGTAGATTTATGATGAAATTAATTTTTCAGTGATGATAATTCTTCAATTTAATGAGGGACTGCCTAGGTAAGAATTAAGATGATAAAGAATGCCTTTATAAATTGGTTTAAATTGAGTTTATTATAACGACAGCGCTTTTGCATTACAGCATTTTTACTTGTCATCATACAGTCTGTGTTTCATTGACCTATTTCTATAAATCGATATTCTCAAGTGATTCCTATTCGACCGATGATTTTTCGGGAATTTAAGTGTAAAGTTTGCTATAAAAACATTAAAAGTTCAAAAGCGTTAGCTGTTCATCGTTTTATCTCTATTTTGATTTCATAATAAACCGCATAAACACTTAGTATCATTAATTTTAGACTCATTATCCTGAAAAAAAATTAAAGCGTATCAGTTTTATGAATTTGTTGACTGTGATTCGATATGATTATTGTACACTGCATGCATTCTATATTGAATATTTTTTTCTTTAACCATATGAAGCATCATCGTGAAATAATGACGGATGCGACTAATAACCTTGCCTTACATAAATTAACGATTGCAACTACTATTACGTCTTCAATTTAAATCATGGATTGAAATCGTTTGTAAAAAAATATGTTTCACTTTCACATAAATTTCATATTTAAAAAAGAAAAATATAAATGCTGATCTATAATATTCATTTTCTTTAATAGCTAATGAGAAAAAATTATAAACTATGTTAGTTTTGTAAACATCGCTTTACAGTTTTCTCCGCAAAAGCCATCTGTTGACGGATGTAAGAGACAATCAAAACGCTGTGAGAATAAATATTTAGTCTTTTAAGCAAAACATTGCAAACCCAGAATTACCCTCTACTTCCTTTTTTCTTTGAATTTACAAATCGCTTATTATTTTTGGGACACCTGCTATTATGCAGTATGAAAATATATTAAAAAGTTCGATGCAAAAGGAGCAGATTTTATATCATTCACTAGGAATTTAAAAATAGCTATAAAATTTCGTAAAATAAGTTTAAGTCCATCCGCAATTGCGTAGTTAAAAATAGACCACAATTCGTATATTAGACCCTTAATCAAACCCACAGATACTGATCATTAGATTTCACACGATAGAGGTTAAATAAAAATGCATGCAATTATATAAAATTAAATATTAATATACTTTATTAAGCATTTATTTTGTTTTAATTTAATACACTTACCTGTCTCTAGCTAAATTTTTGTGACTGGACATTCCAGATTCATGAATAAGAACTGCAGAAAACTCCAAAGATTTCTAAAAATAATAACGTTTCTTGTTATGTTTGACCTAAATATTATATAATAAGAGGTGCGACAATTAAATAACTGGACTGATGCTCCCAAAGAACTGCGCATGCGTCTTACGTGAGTGACCAATAGCTTTGTAGTGAGAAGTCTTCTCTTTCGAATATGCTTCACTTGTGTCTGTAAACAATTCGATCTGATCGTTTATGTAAGAAGAGCAGATTTGTCATGACGGAGAAATGATAAGCTTAATATTTAAACAATGAATCATCGTAAATTTCCTATGAAGGTATTACTTTAACATTGCAAAGGTGAATCGCCAGCTTTTTAGTAGCTTAAACGTTTCAGAGATGGCCGAGAAAATTGTGGAAATAATCCAAGCTCAGGCCGCAATTAGTACCCATCCCAAAGTTGGACCATCAACATTATTCACCAGACCTTACACCATACACCATCTATCGATTACCAACGGTGAAATCTGCTTAAAATGGAACAATATTTCAGCCCGTTAACGTTGTAAAAGAAAAAGCGCTATCGTTTGGAAGAAGCTCACAGAAAAGACTTCAGGTACAGTTTCAAACAGTGTAACATTTGCATGGAACATAGTAGGGATAAAGAGGAGGTGTATATTGAAAGTGATAATCATGAAAAAAAAATATATTCAAAATATATTATTTTACAGCTACAATATCGTTATTTTATAGCCACACCTCGTTTATGACAAAAAGAAGCAATTACTTTCGTTTTTAAATGCTTTTAGAAAATAATCACTTTCTTCATGTTGTAAAATTTTAGAATATTGCTTTAAGACAGTTGATCAATAAAAAAAGTTTGTTTATAGTTTTTACAGTGATGCCAAATACTTCAGATGCGCTGTTTTCGAATCACTATTTACATTGCCAATTGATGGGGAGAAAACGTGTCCGAAGATATTTATTTCACAAATGTGTCATAAGGAAATGTAAAAAATCATAAATTCCATTAAATTATTTAAGAAACAAAAATATAAATACTGATTTATAATATTCATGAATATTTTTTTTAATAATATGGATGCATTCCATTGGCGTTCTTAATTTAACTATATTTCAAAAAATTACATCGTTTACAAATTGTACTTATCATGTAGAATAATTTTAATTAAGGCTCTTATACTATCAGAGCTGACCTATCAAGCAATATTGGAGCAAACAAGTTCGGAAGTTAACGTTATGTTAGTATTAGTTATGTTATGTGCTTATGTTAGCTCTTTGCTCCAAAAATAGATGATAAGTCGGCCTGTCTGATTCAGGGGTTCTAATTTTAATAAGTTCAAAATATGACGTACCTCATGGTCAGGCTCGATGTATAAGGCTTTGTTAAACAATTCTAAAGCTTCTACATTTCTTCCTTGATCCATTAATACAATACCAAGCTGCAAATAAACAATATTTTTCTATATGATTACAGAATAAATTTATATACACTTAAAGGTTTGTAGAATTGACCGTTAATTCCCTCTCTTTGAGAAAAAGTCCCGTGCCCGTACTTGAAACAAATTTCAAACTAGGTAGATTTGAATAATAAATTAAATTTTCCAGTTCTCTTTATTTGAGTAAGAGGCAGGGCGGAAAAATACCTCCTGTGAAAAAGTATCGCCACTGTGGGAAGCTGCAATTTGCTGTTAAGTTCATACCATTATTAGATCGACTTCAAAATGCCACTATCAAGGTAATACTGGAATCAATAGAGGTGGTGCAGACACCATTGGTATTTTGTTCCTGCATCAGCTTCAATAATACTGGTAATTTAAAACCCTGCATAAAAACACGCCATAAATTTTTTAAACCTGTATGGCACTACACTGGAAATTTTGATACCGATTTTCAAATGTACAGTAAGTTTTGAAACAATGCACATCGATCACTACATAAACTTCTTAATTCGATCGCTGATTTATACCCTTTTCCATGTTTGTTAGAGCACCTGACTACGATCACCAAAGACTGAAACTCGATCCCCTGCCGGTGGCAAGAATCAACTCACTCATTCCACATTAAGCAGCACAACCAAGGAACATGCAACTCTCTTATTCTTCAACAGATGGCGGAACTATAGTATTTTGCCTTATTTACGGTTCGTTTCGCTTCGTCTTATTTCAAATAATGCTAAGGCGCGAAATGAAGATAATGTCGATGAGCACAATGTTAATTTACAGTGAGTGAGCATATGATTTAAGAAAAAAATGAGAATAGACTTGTATTTTGATGAGCATGATAACTTTACGGGTGTAATTTTATTTTACGATCAGTCACTAGAGCATTTTTTGACGGTCTGAAACCGTATTCTGGTGGGGAAATTCTTTAGAGTGTACTGACATAAATAAGAAAAATATTTTTTTTCTTTTATTTAAACAGAAAATAATACTTTTTGTTTAATTTTTTTATGAATAAAACAAGTAGTTATCAAATTTTGAGTAACAGTTTTAACATGGCATATACTTATTAAACTTTGCTTATATAAGCACGACATATCTTCTAATTTTTATTCAAACGAAAAAATAAATGAACTTTTTAATAATGACAAGAAAGCTAGACGAAATAACTGAAGAGCAAGTAATGCAACAAAAACAGACATGTATGTTTTTGTGGCTTTATTTGCCTTTTATTCACGTTGTCTAGCCTAACTTTCGTTCGAAGCACCAAGTACATTTTAGTAATGACTTCCTAAAATACTTTATTTAAATAGTAAAGTTTCTGAAATTCATTATTAAAAACCATATTGCCTTTAAAATATTAAAAACAGAAATTTTCTTTGATGCAGAGTTTTACTAAGTCTTATTTAAAATGAATGTTTTCTTCGTTTACCTTAAGAAACTATCATATTTTTAGAATGCTCTCAAGATAGCATTAGATATATTGAAACGTTCGAAATCAGAGATTCTGAACATTGTATGATTTCCATATCTGTATTGGTTGCCATGGTAATCATAAGTCGAACGTGCTGTGAAAGAAAAATATCGCATTCTTTAAAAAGGCTCTTATGCTGACTCAAATATTACATTGGTAATATATTGACTCAAAATGTCAGCTGTATACTCGTAGAAATGACGATTCGGGTTTTAATGTTTTTAATAATATATATTTATTTATTATATAGAAGTCAATCTCCTTGCATGCCATAATGCTGTGCAAGAAGTTAAGACAGACTCAACATTGGTAATATATTGGCTCAAAATGTCAGCTGTATACTAGTAAAAATGTCGATTCGGATTTTAATGTTTTTAATAATATATGTTTAGTTATTACTAGCCGCCTAAGGCGGCCAGCTGTCCGCCACGCTAAAGGTTTTCACAAATAAAGATTTTTAAAACATAGCAGAAAATCTGAAGATTAGTGGACAATTAAAGTGTTCCTGTCCTGCAATTTTGTCTTAAATTCCTATTTTATATATTATATAGCTACAACGCTTAAGAAAAAAAAACTAAAATGCTAAATACATAAAAAGAACACGAAAACGAATTAATTTTTTATGGTATCAATTCTTATTTCTATACAATTTTTTATGGTATCAATTTCTATTTCTATACCGCTACAAAAATTATCGTCTTCGCTTAAGAAAAAAAAATAGAGCGTGGAAAGAAGAAGAAAAACTTATTATAACAATTATGAACAGCGACAAATATATCAAAGCGAAGCGTTCTATTTACTTATCAAATATGTTGCCACATTTTTAATACAAAAGTTAAACTTTTCTCCACTTTGATAATTGTAAACTAATGCGAACCTTACAATTAAATTATTAATTCCTTCATATATTATTGGTTTAAGTTGACGAAAATTAATATTTCAATTGTAAGGTTCGCATTAGCATACATTTATAAGAGTGGAGAAAAGTATATGCATTTTTTAATAGTTTTTTGAGTATGGCTCTTTGAAGACGAAAAAGCATAGATTTTCTTACAAAATGACTGATAACTAAAAAACTAATCCAAATTTTTGAAAAAGAAAAAAAAATACTTCTTCGTTATGTCAAAACACAATTATATGCCGAGTTTCGTGCCTGGGCGAGGCTTCTGGGGAGATAAATTGTGATTACAGACAGACAGACAAACAAACACACACACAGCCGCGTTTATTATTATGTATAGATATAGAAGTCAATCTTCCTGCATGCCATAATGCTATACTAGAAGTTAAGACAGTTTCAACATTGGTAATATATTTTCTCAAAATGTCAGCTGTATACTCGTAGGAATCTCAATTTAGATTTTAATGTTTTCAATATTATATATTTAGTTATTAGAAGTCTATCTTCTTGCATACTACAGCGCTATGCAAGAAGTTAAGACAGACTCAAAAGCACAATTTCTTAACTTCTTGCATTACATGTTATTAAATAATGCTACTTAAAATCCTTATTAAGGCATTTGTCTTATTTGCAACTATTTTACAAATTAATTTTGTAGAAAGAACTTTGCACTCGATTGGCGGAGATTCGGGGACTTGACCACGGCCTCCACCCTGGAGGCATTGTGGTTGGGTGCTCGTGGCTGGGGGATCTGGGAAGAGCTATCTTTGCCAGGAACCTACCTGTTTTTCTGGTCGAAACTATCTTAAACTAATAGATGCCCCATACAGGGCATAGGTGTGGTTGTTGATAATGTTTGTGTCAAAGCTATGTTATAAATTGCATGCTTTTAATAGCTTTTTTCATAATTTATTAATTTATTTTTATTCGAAAGCTACAGTCCTTGACCATATTATTAGACGCCCTATATTATTTTATGAAAAATTATAATTATCAGCTGTATTGTTTTTACTTGGATGAAACCGGTTTGAATTTGTTTACGCTCCTGTATCAATTGGTTAACATTGTAATGCCATACGTTAAAAATAAATACAAATAGGAAGTATATAAGTATATAAAAAATCTCCCGAATAAAAATCCATTACAGGTATGTTTATATATAAAAGTATTGCCTATAAACTCATGCAAATCATGTAATTATTAAAAATCTACAGTGCATCTAATAATTTGATCTAATTATTTTAATATACTAATATAATGCTTGATATAATAAATATTCTTTATTTATATAATATATCGTCTAATTTATCCTATCGTCAAATTTATATTATATATCGACTAATTTAACCGATTGATGCACTAGCGTAAACAAACACAAATCGGTTTCAGTCACATAAAAACAATAAAGCTGATAGCATCCCCTCATAATTAAAACTTTACGTAGAATCTTATAGGGCGTCTAATAATTTGGCCAGATACTGTATATTCCTTCACAATAATTTTAACAAAATTATTTCTATCTTAAAGCATTTAATTGTTCAGAGTTCTTACAAATTGTTTTTTATGAATAAACCTAATAAATTAGAAACAAAATCCGCTTGTGGAGTGTTTGGCGAATCGACAGCTTTTTTATAAAGTGATACATCATATTCCCATTAATCTTTCTTCAATTTCTAAACACAGGATTTTATGAACAGAAGTAAAACAATGAATACTATTTCTACTATGTCTGTGCTATATAGAGTTGGAAATCAATCATTTTGTCCCATTATAAGATATATAATTAATATTATTTTTAACGGAGAATTTAAATTTACTATGATAACGTTTTTTTTGCAATTCTTTGAAAAGTAAGTTTGAGATAAAATTTGATAGTTATTTAAAATAAATAATAATTTCAGATACAATATTTCAATAAACTTGAAGATACAATATTTCAATAAACGATTCAAGCCCCGAAATTATTTTTGCTGGCATCTTTCAATGTGAATATCCTTTCGTCGAATATATGGACTTAAAGCAATGATCACGAAAGAGTAATACCAGTCAAGGAAGTGAAAAAAAAACATGCTTTGTTTTATCTGAAAATAATGGTATATATGGTGCCGTATGTGTTGAATTATTTGTCTTAAATTGAAAAAAAAATAGCTGTAGGGGGTGAAGGCACATTATCATACATCGTAAAAAACTCAGATTATGGAAAGAAGTGCTGGCAGTTTAATTTATAAGATATCAATATATTGTGGTTAGATTATAAAGTACAATCGTTGAAAGGAAACAAAACAACTATAACTATCTCGAAAAACAGATGCACAATAACATTTGTCTTTTCAGAAAATCGACAAAATGGTATTTTTTCTCTCATTGAAAGCTAATTTATTTTTAGACGATAAAATTAAATACGTTCGTGACTGTTTCCAAATGCTTATATAAGTCGAAAAAATTGAGTTCGCTCATGGTATCTGATATAGATAAATTTTAAATGCAACATTCCAGATCGGTTTTGATCAATAAATTTAGGTCAACGGAGCCGGAAAAGACTAAATTGGCTTTAAAAAACGATTCATTGGAAGTGTGACAAACTTTGCATAGCATTGCTAATAAAAATTTTAATTTAATTAAACATTTGAACTAGAGCTATTATTAGCAAGTAAAAACAGAAAGATTTGAGCGTATTACATCTGCGACTACAGTAAGAAGTGTATATTTTTGATTTAAAGATAAATTTCCCGTTCTCTTATTTATAAGATATAAAAATATCGTTATTGCATTATAAGGTAAAATCATTCATAGAAAAACCGAGAGCACATTAAGCTTAAATTACCAGATTTGTCTATTGAAACAGAGACTGGTCCAAAATATATTTATTTACGGAAAAAATAAATAATTAGCTAGCTTTGCTATCACTAAGTAATGGAAATTGTCATGTGAGAATTAATATGAGAATATTTGAAAACTCAGTTCAACACGTTCCAGGGATTAACGGCGGTTATTGAGCTGCAATTCACGAAGAGGACATTCTTGAGCTCTTTTCTCAGAATTAATGCTGTAGGACGTTCTTGAGCTCTTTTCTCAGATTTACTGGTGTTAGGAAACTAAAAATCTATTTAAAAACACATGTCAAGCTCAACACTGCAATAACGTTAAAAAATCTTTTGGTAAAGTGTCTCCTAGAATCCTCCTCTTGCATGATACGCTGGACACTACCAATGCGACTAAGAATATTCAGTAGGAAATAAGCTAGGAAGTCCTGCGCTAACCACGTAATATTTTATAACCGCCCTTGAACAGCCTTTCCAATTTTGGACTTACGATCATTAATGTTCAATGCCGTTCAATTTTTAACCCAATCCAAAAGCCTGGGGAGCTCCTGGATCAGATATTAGGAGAAATTTGCATTCATGGGAGACTTTGTGATGGAACTAGCCAGCATTTGCGTTACATGGAGAGAAAATAACGAAAAAATCCTACTGTTAGTCTGGAGGCAAGGAGACTCCAGCCCATGATCCTTCTATCTACCACTGCGGATATTTTACGTCAGCGATGTGGTCGGGGCTAGCCGGGTGTGAAATTCCTATCGACTAGCCATCTCTGGGATTTGAACTCGGTTCACCTCATTGGAAGGCAAACGCTTTATCCCCTGAGCCACAATGGCTCTACCTACGTTACTTGTCCATATTTGTCTCCTTGTGACTTAAGCATCTACGGTAAGCTCAATGAGCACTACGTTTTCAAATGGACAAGAATTGCGCGACTGCTATCGCAATGTGATAAATGGTTAAAAATATGTGGGCAATGCTTTTTAGTTCCACCAAATAAACTTTGGGGAGTGGCCTAATCTTAGTCACTTATGAACTGTATTACTATACTACCTAGTACCCTATCTAAGTAATTCACTATTTCTCGAGTTAGGTACCCATTTTTTTGATGATTCAGATACCTTATCATATAGTTTTGAATAACTAAAACTCAAAATGCATGAACAACAAATCATACATAAAACCTAGAGGTAGGGGCTAAAATTGACAAATTCTTTTACGTCAGACAAAAACTTAGTTTAAAATTCCATTTTATTTAAAACTGGTGTTTTATATATACCTAGTTATGGTACGATTTTCATTGTATAAATATGCTTGTTTATCGAATTCATAAGAGAACTGAAAAATTTCGTAAAATGAATACCTCGGATGAAAAACTTATTAATAAAAAAGTAAAAATGTAAACTTATAATTCTATATTCCAAAAAAAAAATCAAATATGCGGGAAAAAAAGAGAAAAGAAAAATTATGCGTCTTTTAATGAAGCAAGTGTTTTTTCAGGTATATTTAGAATGCATTACAACTTCAAACACTGACAGTACTAAAATCTCAAGGGTCCGTTGATCTTCTAGGACCTAAAAATTATCGTAAAGAATGACTTAGAATAATAACTAATAAGTATAGACAAGTTGAGGCGTCCTCCAAATGGATATCGCTTTCAAAAAGTTCGCAAAGAATTATATTTTCTTTGGAAATAAAAATAATTCAATCCAATACCGTCTGAAGAACTCTTTCATATTTAAAAAAAAATTCGACGACACAAGTCGTCACCGTAAAAGCATTTGACTGTTAAAAAAAGAAAAAATTGCATGAATATTTGAGAAGAGTGCTAGAAGTGTTGTATATAAGTAAAAACGAAAATGCTAATAATGATAAAGGTAAAAAAAAAGTGAAAGAAATGTACATATAACCAAACTTACGTTGAAGTACAGATCTGGATTTGAATCATCGAATTCAAGCGCTCTCTGATACATGGCTTCCGCTTCTTTCGTCCTAAAAATAAAAAAAAAGCAGACGATGATAAAAAAAACGGAACTGAAATGAAATGAATAAATTTACTTCTCGTCTAGATTTCAGAGTAAACATGCAATACTCTTTTCCAATGGCGTACATGAATCGATTGAAAAGCAACGTCTTCCCGTCTTAAAACTTTTTAATATTCATGAGATTTTGCGATTGCTTTTGCAGTAGCTTCCTTTATTTTTTTCCTTCTTTTTTTTTTCTTCTTCTTCTTTTATCTAACTTTTCCTTTTATGCTACACTAAGACGGCGAATTAGAAGTTTATTTTTTGTGTTAGCAAGATACACTTCAGTTTAGGAAGGAGTATTGGTCTTAGCAATTTTTAAAGCTATATTCGGCTTTTTTTTCGAGGCATCTATCAGAATTCAGCAGAGAGACGAAGATCTTGTATTTTTTATTTCCTCTCCTTGTCATTAAATGTGTTATGTTTTCGGGTATCTGTCAGTTTTTGTCAAGTAAAGGACATGAGTTTTTGAAAAAGAAGAAAACAACGCCCATCACACAGACGTCCATCACACAATCGGAATTTTTTAAATTACTTTAAACTGAATTAACCTTTTTTCGAAAATAACCCATTAAGGAGTCTTACGCTGTAAAAGTAAATACTATTGGAATAAATAGTATCAATTCCATTGAAGAAAAGTAAAAGTATCTTAAAAAAGGTAGAAACTATAGTAGATGATTTAATTAAAAGATTTAAATCGAATTACAGTCTCTCTGCCTAAAAGTAAGATATCAGACTATTTGAGTACAGCTGATTGGTAATAGCTTTCAACCTTCCAGAACGCGAAGGCGCGTCTGCGCAAATTTAACGACAAATTTTGTTTTTAATGGACTTTTTTCGTATATCGCAGCTGAGACGTCTAAAGGACATTTCTATTCCTTCTTTCTGCTCTTCCCCACGTCTTGGACTTTGCCTACAGGAAGTGACGTGACAATTTTTATTTCTAATCGAATTTTTGTATTAAGTGGTTGTTTTTTCTAAAATTTGCGGCATGCTCTTTATCATGGATGAAAATTCGAAAAATATTTCTCTTTCAAGTGTTTCGTAATTTTGAGTTAAAAATTGGTGAGTATTATTTCAGTTTGTTTAAAATTGTTTCGATAATTTTTGTATCGGTTTTCATGGCAAGAGAATACATACAATCTGGTGATTTTTGCCACTTTATACGAGAACTGTCTGACGAAGAAAAAGACGGGAGGGAAAATTTTTGATTTGAGATTGATAGCGCTTGGATCAAGAAAATTTAAGAAATAAACAATATCAGTTGTGAATCTGAACAATATGGTTCGGGCAATTATGATAATAATAATATAGGGGAAAGAAATTATGATGACATGTCCCATGTTGGTAAGGATAAGTCTTCTAAGTGGTGAAAAGTAAAAGGTGCTAACTACTCAAAAACGAGGAAGAGGAATATTATAAAAGTGTGCCCTGGCCTAAGGCACCATGCCAAGGATATAGAGGATGAAATAGGATCATTTCCAAAAATAATTGACATAAATATGGTTGATGAATCTTAGGTGTGTACAAATAAATATAGAATTTCGCTACAACGGATACTCAAGAGATATAGACTGTTCTGTTACCTCAATAGTGGAAATAATGGCCTACTTTGGATTGTTGTACACGATAGGATTGTTTCTTGACAAAATTGTTATTAATATCCTCGAATTTATTTCTGTCGTTTTCTGTGCCAAAATGGAAAAATAACAGCTGTCGTAAAAATACGACGCACTCGTTCATGTAAGATAACACGTGCTGTAAAGTTAAATGAGTAAAAAGTAAAATCTAATTTAGTATTTTGAAAGTATGAGTCAGGGCAATATCCATATAAAACATATAATTTTACTAGTTTAGGAAACCTTGCTGATGAAAACTCACCCAAATTAATAAATTTGCCTTGCTTTCATTTCAATGCACCAAAATTGTTTCTTGTATATTTCAGACGTAGTACTAACCAATACTTATATCGAATCAATAAGATGGCTTCGCATTTTATTAAATTATTCGAGCTTGCATTATAATTCTCAACCCATCTCCATTGTATTTGCAAGGCTTGCACATAAAAAACATAACTATTCCTTATTTAAAAAAAAAGAACTATTCTTTTAACCCAAACTTTTTTGCTACAAATTTATAGCAAGCGAATTCTATTTCTTTACAAATTCGCGTCCACTATAAAGCTTAAAAATTTACGAAACAATACTTTATTCGTAAACTAAAATAGTCCCCCCCCCCAACAAAAAATTTGAAATTCATATAGTCTACGCAGAGATATGAACTACTTTCGTCATTTTAACCCGAACAACGTGTTTCCTTTTCAAACGCATTAACTCTTAGAAATTCTCTCTAAAATAAATGCAAGGAAACGCGAACGAACGGCGAAGTAATAAAAAATGTGAAAACAGCCCTTCTAAGTACACAAGCAAGTCCCAGGTATATAAATAAAATAAGAGGGCAAAGAAGATAGAAAGGCTGGGCTAGATGTATAATAAAGGGTAGGGGGGTAAGGAAAAATACATTCCCTCATACCAGGGACGATGTTGGTGCATATTTGATGTCGAATAGAAGCCATGAAAGGTTAATGCAGAAAGCTTTGCTGGAAGAAAAAGGCTTGGTTATATATGAATGCGAGCCCAAGCCTTGCATCGTAAAACACAACCGTGTTGTCGATTCGACAGTTTTCTCTGCTTGATGACCTCCAGGGATTGGCCCGAGGATGGCCCGAGGAAACATCTGTGATGCGTGGATCGGAGATATTTGGAAGTATTTCGAAATATTCACCAGACGTTATTGCTTGGCAAAGCACTAACAGAAGGATGGGTCAGTAAAATTGTTCATGTTCCAATTTTTGTTTTATCTCGAGATGCATGTAGATTAGAGGGTTAAGAGGACTTACAATGACTTCTTATGTTCTATTGTAAGTGCATTTGGGAAATTAAAATCATATTTTAGTTGTATAAATCAGTAGATATCAAACGTATATGATTCTTCTGATGTATCATGCATTGTAAAGAATTCCGGATTACATTACTGTAAATAATACTGGCACTCAGGTGATGGTACTTTTTACCGTAAAATCTATTTTTACAGGGACATGCTACGGAACAAAAAATCTGATAAGTCGCAATTTCTGCAGTAATTACAGTAAAATATCTGACTCTATCTAATTAAATAAATATTTCTGTGAAAATTACGGTGTAATATATTACGGTAAGATGGATTTTACAGATGATGCAGTTGAAGTGCGATTATTTTAATCCGCAATTTGCTCCGGAATGCTTTACAGTGTTACATTTTTAATCCTACTGTAAGATATCTACCAAAAGAACTATCAACTTTTTTTTAAGTATTACGTTTCATTTGTCAGTAAACTATAGGATTGAAGGCTAGCCAACTGAGACGTTAATGCGATCTAATGAAATGTCCTCGCGAACTTCTAGTAGTTTTGAGATCGGCTGTATGACGATCATTAGTATAAACAGCAAGATAACCTTCATAATTCTCTATAGTGTTTAGTAATGGTCTTTAAATTCATTAACTTAGAACTATTTTGGAAAAAGTAATGTTTTACTTAGAAATTATACATTTTTTTCAAAGAAGATCGTTTTAGATATTACTTTATATTTTGACCTAAAATATTCCAGAGGAAATAGTACGTTTATTTCATCAGTATTTTGCATAGAATACGTAGTTGATAGATAACATATAGATCAAAATTTTGCGTAAAAATTGCAATATTAATATCGTTTCAGACAGTGAAAAGAAATAGATAGTATGAAACCTTTCAATTCTATGGGAGCATTTTATAGCAATTAAAGTTTCAGTGATTCCCCAGAATTTTACAATTAATCATGCTTATAGATAAGTACTAAACACAAATTACGATTATTAATTTCGTTTTAAATTAAATTGTCTATTATTAAATTGTTTCTAAAATCTTGAAAAAAATAAACTTACCTATTCATTTTTAAAAGAACGTCACCCCTGTTAAGATATGCATTTGTGAAATCTGATCGTAGCGTGATGGCTTCTCGATATAACTGGAAGAAAAAAAGATCATTTTAAGATAATCATTAAAGGTAAATGAAATGTTTTAATGAGAATTTTAACAGAATTTTATGAATTTTATTTTGCGAGTTATGAATTTCAATTTTTAAAAATTATGCAATTATGTTCATTTACTAGTTCTGTACATATTTAAAGAAAATATTCATATTTTTTCTATTAATAAAAGAATTCTTTTCCTAACTCACTAAAACAAAAATTGCATAAATTATTTCCCTTTATTATTAAAGCATTCACTTAAGAAATATTAAATTCATGTTTATTTTCATTTGCATGGATTTTATATTCATACTCATTTGTTTGGATTTCATATTCATATTTATTTGTATGGATTTCATATTCATTTGTTTGGATATAATTTTTTCTTAAAATTAGCTTTTATGTGTGTGAAGATGAGTTTAGACAAACTTTGTAGATATAATACGATAAATATGGGATTCACTATAAATACAAGATATGATAAATATGCTATCAAATTATGCTAATTTTCTTCCGATGTTTGGTACAACAGTCGTAATCCCGATAAAAGCAATTTTAAAAATATATTATTTAATGGGATACGTGCGAGTGACATAGTGTGGGTATCTCGATCCTGATTGGTTGTTGAAACTTAGCATTTGCTTACGTTACTGACTGTTCTTTCTATTCTGTTGCGAGTAAGTCAAGCCCGTCAAGTACCAATTATCTTCAGTAACACAGTCTATATGCTTTCACAAAGATTCTTTCTCCAATATTATGTATTTAACTTCACATTAATTAACATTCTAGCTTCTGTAGAGTAACCTAGCTCAACTTTCATACTCCATTTTGCTGATATTAGCTTTTGCTGACGTCATAAGTCACATGTGTGGGTATGGAAAATCTTCTTCTTCTTACCGTACAACTTTTCCTTAAAATGTATTTAATTTTAATGAAATTTAGTTTTGTAACATAGAATGGAGATTCTAACCAATGCTTCATTTCTGTTAATTATAAAGCATTGTTTTCTTTTTCCATGCCTTCCATGGCTTAGGTAAGTGCCAAGTTGATTAATACGGTTGCAACGCATATTTTTCTAAAAAATAAAATCCGGTTTATTGAGTTATAATAAATTATAGCTTCTGTTTCAATCCGTTAAAGTTGGTGTTGGTTGGCATAAAGATTTAATTCAAGCTAGGAGAACGAGACTAGCTGAGGAACGAGATTGGCGAGTGAAATTCTAGAACAGTGGACGCTAGACGAAAAAAAAAAGAAAAAAAAGTTCTTTTTTTTTTCTTTTTCTTTTTTCTTTTCTTACTACACTGGACAGAAAAAAAAACGTTGCTAGTTATTTTTTTATAAAATGCATCATAATTTTTATTCTTTTATATATCGACTAACATAATCAACAATAATTAGTCGCTCGGAGAGGAAGATGTCCGTCATAGTTACAACCACAACCGCGTCAATCTTATACAAATTTGTAGTGAAGTTAAATTATTTTCGGTGATAACATCGCGATAAATTCTGCTCGTAGAGGACAATAACTGAATTTCCATTGTTATCAGACACGACAAATTTGAGCTTAAATTTTCAAATTTGCATTTCCATCATATTAGACCGCCAGACGAAATTTGAATCCTTAAACTATACTCTGGTTGAAAATCTGATGCAAAGATTACCCTCCCATGCACATGGAATTGATTTAATTTAAACATAATAATAATAAAAGCGCAAATGAATATCAACAACGATACCTATGGGCAATAAAAATAATTAAAATTTATTTGTCTTTTTTTTTGCCCATATGCCTACTGTAATCTACTCTTTTGAACTAATGAATTAACTGACTTTAAGAGTTGCATTTTATAAGTAAACTCATTAATTACAACTTATATCTATGCAGTCCTCCAGGGATAAAATTGATTAAAATAAATGGCGCACAGACTACAGCAACCAGAACAGTTAAAGAGAGAGATCCCTGGGTCATTTGGCTGTTTGGTAATGATTCCAGAAGGGGTGTACTTACCGCGTCCGCCTCTTCCAAACGACTATCATTTCGAGAGATAAGGAAGGCGAGATTAAGGAACAGTTGTAGGTGGTTGGGGGTGACCCGCACCTCACGTTCCATCGTCTCCTCTGGACCGGGAAACAGTGATTTGGCCTGAAATAGCATCATCATCAGTGTTTTAATTTAGGAAAAGGACATTCATCACAATTTGCTATTCAAACATTCTGTTATGTAATTAATCCCACGCTTTAATTTTAGAGTTTGAGCTATTCTACTGATGGATGTTTTGAAATAATTATGAGCGACATTTTTAACATCTACGCGACCAAAATATACAATGTATGAAGTTAAATGCTGTAATTATGGGGTGGATTAATAAGAAAGCAAACAATTTGTTCTTTTTTTTTTGTTTCAAGTTTGATAAAATGCATTGGATACCATCTTATTTACTTAACACTAAACATACCAACACTTAACGTACCTATTTCTACAATAGTCGGTCAAATGAGTGGAATTAATGTTTCTTGATTGAATGTATGAAATATGGATGTTAGAAAGGAAATAAACTAAAAATACTTTATTATAATTAAACAAAATTGCATATTGTCAATTTTTATGTATTACAAATACAAAGAATAAGAATTATTAATTCATTGCTCAACGCATTTTTTACCTATACAGGGTGCTTCCATTGAACATTTTCATCAAACATCTTTAGTCTAATTATTATTATTTCTATAATTATTATAATAATTATATGAATATGTAAGAATTATAAGAATAGATAAGAATTATAAGAATAGATAAGAATTATAAGAATAGATAAAAATATTAAGAATAGATAAGAATTATAAGAATAGATAAGAATTATAAGAATAGATAAGAATTATAAGAATAGATAAGAATATTAAGAATAGATAAGAATTATAAGAATAGATAAGAATTATAAGAATTATATTTCTTATAATTATTTTTGTGATTAATATTATTTCTTCCAAGAAGTTGTGCTGTCTTAATTGTTTCTAAATTCTTCTGGGTAAAAACTAACAGTTAGTTAAAAATGAAGTAAAGCTATCAAAATAAGATATAAGCTACTTAACAAAACATTTAGTTTTCGTCACTTTTTCTTGCCAATCTAAAATTTTAGGTACGTTCTTGAAATTTAAATTCACAGTTATTTTGATTAAACAACTTCGCAACTGTCTTTGCTGAAATGTGCAACTAATCGAATGCTATACGTTGAACGCGTATTACATCGTAATTTCTGATCCGATAACATTATGAAGCAATATATTGTTCTCCCGGTCAAATGACTAATTGTAGTAGAAATAGGTATACGACAAGTATTGTTCGAAACAAACGAGATAAAAAAAAATAATAGAGTATTGACTGTAGCTTAATGTTAGAAAAAATCATGAAGTGACCTGTGCAAAAACGATAAGATGATAAGCACATTTTTATGCAAAAGTTCTTAAACGGTCATTTGACCGGTTATTTACAGTTAAATATTTACAATCATTTTAACTCAAAAATAGCCAAAATATTTGATGGATGAAATTAAGCATAGTATTCGCAGAGAAGATAGATTTGAAAGCAAAAAAAATTTTTTTTTCCTTTTCTTTTCTCAAATTTGCTAGAAAAATCGCGAAAAATTTTATTTTCATAAACATTTACTGTCATAATAACTCCTAAATGACCAAATTATTGCATATAATATTTAAATATAATACTTAAGTTGAAGGTTTACAAGACAGTATATTTAAATTTTTCACATTTTTGTGCCTAAGATATGCTAGAATACAAACAAAATTATTATTTAAATATTTAAATAAAAATTACAGTTATTTTACAACACAATTTGCTATTTAATGACATCAAAGAACAAGATTAAATAACTCTACATTAATTTATATGTTTTAAGCTTTGACTTATCTCAATTAATTCACGAACCATACTGACCTTTTATCAGTAATATTTCTTTAAAATTAAAGCTATTACAAATGAAGTATTGGTATCACTGTTTCTTAAAGGCGACTTTGAACTTTTAAGAGGGTCCAGAACATATTTTTGATACTTCCTTATATAAAAGTTTTTTTAAAATTCGTTGGTAATACATTTCAGAAAAAAAAATAATGTTTTAAATTATTAATGATACTGGAAAAAATTTTAAGGTATTCATTTATTTATTTATTACCATTATTTTTTGTTTTTGTTCTTCCCGTTTTAAGAAATTTACAAATTTGAATTTTGAGTTTTTATTGAATTTCAAATTCAAATTTGCACATTTTGTTTTCTAATTATTATTTCAAATAGCTTAAACTTAAAAATAAGAAAAAAAATTATCGTTTTCCTATAAAGAACTTAAAGTAAAGTAACAAAATTAAACTCCAAATTTCAGAAAACTATCATTTTTTGTATGTCTTTAATAATTAAGAAGAAAAGACAAAATATGGCGCTGGAGTAAAATGCCATGCATATCAGAAATTCATTGAATTTTTAAATTTGTACTAAATTTGCAATTTAAATGCGTCAACTTTAACTACTTAATTATTATTTGACTTTAAATTAATATTTTACCCATTTTTTTTAAAAAGTCATATATCTTACCAGCTTGAAGAAACATCTTCAAATACATTTTTTTTTAAAAATTAAGAGGTATCGCAGAGACATTATTAAGAGGTATCGCACACAGCGAGAAACATTAACAGTGTACTTAGCTCCAGTGTTGTTTACGTTTAATGTTGTTTGGCCATTACTAACAATGAGTGGTATTGGTAATCATCTAAACATGCTACACATCGTCTGCTGCTTTATTGCATAGCATTGTCAAACCAAACATTGCAAAATTACATGCATTTGGAATTGGAACCTTTTCATCGTCCTCAATACTCACAAGACATATCCCCCATCAAACATAACCTTTTCTAAAATTGGAGAAATTTTAATAACAAAATAATTTAATACCGAAAAAAGCTGTAAAACTGGCCTATCATGAATTTATGAACTTTTTCCCGCCAGAGAAGTAACCCACTTGCCGTTTATATGGCATGTGGAGGGGAGCGGTGTCTGAAAAGCTAATTCTGAGCATGGACAGAAACTGGTTTTCGATCGCACGATCCATTTTCACTCGGTAATACCTCTCAAACGGAACCAATTTTCCACGTTATTTATTTGCCAAAACTTAGTACACCACAAAATGCAACACATGGCGATCCAATCGTCATTTTTGTTAAAAAAAAAATTGACAAACGCCACTTTTTCCCATTGATCTTCATATAGGTGCATGCATTGAAAAATGAAATACACTGTAAAAAAAATTAGGATCAAATTACGGTAAAAAGTACCAATATCCAGGTTACCGGTACTTTTTTACCATAAATTCCATTCGGAGTATGCTGCAGAGCAAAAAATCTAAAATATCGTAATTTTTGCAGTAATCACGGGCACAATCAACTACCGGGAAATCACGGAATCACGCTAATTTTTAAAAAATAGAATCTTACGTTAAAATGGATGACACGCCCAAAGTGCTGTATTTTATACCGTAATTTAATCCCGGATTTTTTACAGTTCAGTTCATTGTGTCTGTTGACTATCAATAAACTTTGGCTTTTTGTCAAAAAATTTTATTCTTAACAATCTAATATTTTATTTAATAACCTTCGTTGCGCAGCCATCCCGATTTTGGAATTACGACTACCAATGCTCAACTCCGGAGCCTTGTAATTTTGAACCCGATCCAGAAGACAAGGGTACTCCAGGATCAAGTATTGGGAGAAATTTTGCCTTCCTGGGGGAACTTTTTGAGAGAACTAACCAGCATTTGCGTTAGATGGAGAGGTAAACCCCAAAAACATCTCACAGTTAGTCTGACGACAAAGGGACTCTAACCCATGATCCATCCACCACTGAGTACCGACCTTTTTTGAAGAAATTCTCTTCTGGAACTATCCTCGTTTCAACTTAACCACTTAAACTAAAATATTAGTTAATAACATTATTAATAATAGCATATACGTTCTCTAACAAATTAAGGAAATTAAGAAATTTATATTAAAGCTCATAATCATTATTCGATTTAAATGAATAACAACTTTATCGGATTAAGTTCTAATTTATATATTTATTTCCCATTAAATTTAATAGGGCTATTAATTTTCTAATTAAGAATTTTGATGAAAATTCAAGCAAATTACCGCGTTTCTAATGTTTGTTTCCAGATTTTTTTTAAAACAAATATTTGTTCGATAATTTTCGAAAAAAAAAAACGTAAGGCTCATTTTTATTTAAAACTCTAGAAGACGGGGAATTATATGTAAGTGATAAAAAAAATAATTATTTTTGAAAAAAAAAATTAGTTCACTCTTTAAAAAAACATATAAAACTTGCAGCGATTTCTTTTCGTGCCTTTTCTTAAAATATTATGAATTGAAGATTTGTTGAACTTATTTTTATCATACACTATAAATTCGTTTTACATATCTCTGTTATTAAAATATTATTAAACTGTTTCTTTAAACTGTTTTTTAAACTGTTTCTTAGTGACAATAAAGGATTTAAAGAAGAAATATAAAAAATTTTAACGTGTAGTATATTATTTTATGTCAAAAATTATGATGTTTTATTTATCGTATGTTTTGATTATCGACGATTTACTCGAATTCAAATTTTGGTATTTTGTTCTTCAGTTTTTATTATTAGATTCCATGTCTATGTGTAAAATAGTTTCCGAAAGGCCAAAAAAAACTGCAGCACTAAGGTCAAATGTAGCAAAATGTCTGAACAATACAATTATTACTATTTTTTGAATTAGATTATAAAACGCGTCACATCGTGCTATAGATTCATTTAAAATATTACTAAATAACAAAGTTTCAAAGAAAATTGACTATTCACTTACTTGGAAAAATAAATTTGAAAGCTTATAAATATTCTTAATTTGATACATAAAAAAAACTATCAACCTAAATCTAAGCCAAGCTAAGTTTCACTAATAGGCGAATTAAAAAAAATGGAAGAATAAAAAATAATTCTTGGAGCCATAAAAGCAGAAAGTTGTAGATAGACAATTTTTAGGGATTTTGTTTTGCCGATTTCAAAAAACTATGTATTAATATAATTTTTTGAAAAAAAATTGTTGCTTTAAGATTCCATGTTGATTCCATGTTGGTCACTGATACTTCTTTTCGGAAAATAATTTAGATCGAATATTTTACCTTTTACACAAGCTTACTTTCAACTTTAAATTTTTATTTTTATTTGTTTTATAAAAAGTTAAATTTTATGCTAATTTATGCTTTGCTTATATGGAAAATTAAAAGAATTCTGGACTATTTTCTCAATGGACTATATTAATGGCAGCCTTCTCGTACAATATATTGTATAAAAATGAATTCTATAAAAAGTAAATATTTTTCTTTCGTTTTTTTTCAATTTGCATTCGTAAATTAAGAAAAAAAAAGTAAAAAGTCTCCTTACATTAAGATATACTTTTTCAGCTTCTTCATATCTTCTGAGATGAGTAAGCACACGTCCCATATTTAAATAACCTCTAACATCGTCTGGTTGTATTCTGGAAAAAAAAGTTGTATTTTTAGGCTCGTTTAAAAAAAATAACTAAGCATTTGAATGGAATATTTTTGATATTTTAACTATATTTAATCTTCTTGTATAATTCCTCTTTAGAAAGTGAAATATGTTTTTAAAAGCTTTTTTGATAATTTAAAATTACGGATTTAATTAATTATTTTTCATTATTAATTTATTTTTCATAATTATTATATTAATCAGTAATTGATTAATAAAAAATAATAATTAATTATTTTTTTAATCAATTTATTTATTTTAAATAATTTATGATCAATTATTAAAAATAAAATTATTGCTCTGTTAATTGACTATAGTTTTATTTTTAATTGTGGTTATGCATAGAAAAAATATAATGATTTATTAAGGTGACAAGCTTTTATTAATAAATTAATAATGTATAAATTTAATTTTTCGTTTTTTTCTCTTCTGAAAACCGTTATTATTAATAAATTAATAATGAATGCAGTCATTTTATTTTTATTTTGCCCTGTATTAATAGATACACCTAACTCAAAATATTATAATAATTACATTAATTCAGATAAAATAAAACAACAAACGTCACTATAAATAATTATATATAATAATATAAATAATAATTAATAATTAAATAGTAAAAATGCTATTAAGAGAACGGCTATTCAAATAACAGGGACTAGTGTAATAATTGCGATGTTAAACTATTAATTTCTGAATAAAATCTCGAAGTTGATTCACGGAAAATGTTAATAACTAACTCCAGCTTAAACGCAGTCAAAACTGCATTAAATAGAAACATTTATAAAAATTTTACTTACTTAATGGCTTCATTGTAGTGATTTAAAGCCTCTTCTTGTTTTTCCAATGATTCTAAAACGCGTCCCATGTTATTGAAAAGTTTGGCATTCCTTTGATTGACAGATAGCGCTGAACTGTACAATGTAAATTCAGTTCGCCTGCAAAATAAGAATTAATAGTTATGTAAAGCAGCCCGTTAAGGACCAGGATGGTTATGAATCTTAAAAGTTTCACAATTTCATGATCAATTGCATGTTAATGGCAATCTGGTCAGCATTACGTACTGGCCGCTACTTCCCAGATAATCTGGTACCCATTGATCTGAAGTGGGGTTGGCTTCAGTCAGCAACAGTTGACTGAATCTCAGTCCATCACAATGACAGTTCAATATCGTGACAACCGAACCATCGGGAGCTTAACCCTTTGCTTGCGATGTTTATGCTGTACCATCAAATGTGGGTCACATGTTGCACCAGCCGTAAGCAAATGGTTAAAAAGAATCAATGAATACAATTATTTTACTGAATTTAAAGCATTTAATTTTTATTGTAGGATTGCTATTTTATTGCTATGGGAGGAGTTTTTCAGCCTCTAGCGGCTTAAGATCACGCGGACATGATCTCCGTTATTCTCGTATTGCGTCTCGCATGTATATACACTCTTTTGTGCTCTTCTTAGGCCTGATCTTTAAGCCTGACCTTAGGTCTTTTTTTCTCCCGCCTGTTCTAAAAGGGTTTACCCTTTATAAGGCCTTTAGGAAAAGTGTATTTTAAATCAGATTCATTAATTTTTAATATCCGATGGGAATCTATTGATCCAATTGTGATTTGTGCTGCCATCTATAGCAACATTAAATAAAAAGCGAAATACCAATGAAGGGCTTTGTTTATATAAATGTCGAATACAGCTTGCGTGGGGTCAAGGACAAAGGTTGAGGAGCCATTTTCTCTAGTGCTATACGCGTGTGTTTATTTGAAAATTTCCAATCGAGTTTATTTGCAGTTATAAACACAAAATTTGTCAATTTAGTTATTTATAAGCACAAATGTTAAATGTAATGGCCAATTCTGTACCGCACTTAAAATTTTGAAAATACCAGCCACCTTCTCACGAAATTTTTTTTAAACTTTAGGAAATAAGCTAAATGAATTTCTTTCGTTATTTTCACTCCATGTAACGCAAATGCTGCTTTTAATTCAAAATTTCAAGGGAGGTGTTCACCTTTTATCCAGTCCATGCGACTATTTTGCAATGTTGTAATAAAGAAAAGTCAAAGTTATACAAGCCAACACAACACCAAAAAATTCAATACAATTCAAACGAAAAAATTTTATAATAAGCAAAGATAAATATTTCCTTAATAACCTTTCTGGAGCTGTTTCTTCTAAGAAAGAAACTTATTGCAATAAATTTTAACAATATTTACAAAGAATTTTAACTTGTAATAATCATTAAAATAATATCCCTCGTGTTTTTCATTAATTTCATTTATTTATTGTCAAGACTATATTCAAAACTGCTATAAACAAAAACTATTTTAATAATTATTTCTTTTTTGTCGTAATTACTATCGCGTGTTTTATCTTAAATATGTTATCATAAATATCCTTAGCAGCATTTCGCTCGGTGAATACAAACAAATACATTTTGTTCATTACCTAATTTTCATCAATTAGGCATCTACATATATAAATTATATGGTGCTTCTTTACGCTGTAACTGAAAAGTAGCAAAATGGTGATGTCCGTTTTATAAGCAACGAAAAAGAAGGAATTCTATCAAAAATTATGGGCAATTACTAGGAAGATGATCATAAAAAGACGGTCCTCAGAGAGATTTTTATGAGAAAGCAGATAAAGTAGGCGATTAAATAACTAAAAGGAAGAGTAATGTTTACTTTTATGTATTAGTCTCACCGTTATCCTCAGAACGTTTGTTCTTGAGTAATGTGAACTCTTCGCTGGTAACTGAAGAACTTGCTTTATATGTATGCGCAATGTTCATTTTATGTTTTGCTTAAGGAAGCTGGTTAGTTTTAATGTGGGTTCAGCTTTAATGTTGGCTGTGGATTTCAGATAGTTAAATGTTTTGTTGGATTTTCAGTAAACAAAGGGTTTTATCTTTTGGAAGTAATTAAACTGAATTAAAACTTATTATTTGTCAAGAATTTCATTTTACTATGCTTTTAAACTAATATGCTAAATGGGAATTCTGTCTAATTTTAACAGAAAAGTCATAATATGAAAATTAATTCAGCATACACGGAGAAGAAAATCTAATAGTTCAAATTACCGTATTGTATGGAAATAAAATTTCAGGAAAAAAATAAACAATGTTTCTGGTTAATTGAAACAATATAACTGGTTTTTAAACCATTTATTTTCTAATTTTTTCGTTCATATGGTATTGGTTTACCGGAAATTTTGGTTTCAAAGTTATAGTTCTCATTACCTTATTCTTCTTATTATTAGTAGTATAATAAAAAATATGCAAAATGTAAAGTAAATTTAATAAAGTAAATGGTTTTTATGCCATACTCTAGGGCATGCTGATAAAATTACCACATTACCAAATTTATCAAAGAATATCACATATTATAAAACCATATTTTGTTGTTTATTTCACCAAAATCATTACCATAGCGTTTTGTTAAAAGTGTCTGAGCTTTCTGGTTTTCTTCTAGAGCCAAAAACAAGGTAAATTTTACCACATTCTGGAAATTCTGTCCATACTTTTTTTCTCAGTTTGAGTATGATTTATTAAATTATTACTTTTTATATTATTTTTTGCCGTATGGCATTTAACAAATTACTAGTTTTAGTTTTTTAAATCTAAAAATGAAAACAACATGGCTAACTATAAAAAAAAAGACGGTTAGTGTTTCGAATATTTAAGCATATCATTTAAAAAGTCATTGTATAGATAAAAAAATAAATCCATGTCAATTATAAGAATCCAGATAGAAAGAGAATATCACAAAGTAAATAAATCAGACATATTCCTTATTATATTTCTTAGGTGAAAATAAAATTTTTTTAAACAGCATTGTTTTCTTTTCATACAAAATACTAAATTACATTGAACATATTTGGAATAAGCTTAGATTTGCTGAAAAAGTATGTTTTAAAAGTCATTAGATAAATTTGTTTCTGAAAACCAAATTGGAATATTGCACAAAATTTGAAAAATACTTAAAAATCAGAAAATATTAAAAAATAGGGAAATAATGTTCGAAATTTGGTTATTGCTTCATAGAATTTATTTTGACCAGAAAAAGATTTTTGTATTGACTGAATTAAATATTGAAACTTTTTAATTTTCAAAAAAATTATTCAGGAGTGTGGAGCCAATAATGAATAAAATTCACAATTTAAAAAGCCTTATAAATACTTTAATAACAGAATTTTTTACTTTTCCCAGGACTTTATGGTTGATTGAAAATGAACAATCGACATTATTTAAAGAAAAACAACACTAATTTTTAAATAAAAGAAAATCCTAAATGTTGTAGTTGAAAATTATTTAAATACATATATAATTGCAGATTTTTTCGTATTTTGATGAACCTAAGCAATGCAGTTTGGGAGCAATTTTTTTAGCATGAAACACCATATCACAAAATTTTCTTATTTTCACAAAACTCTAACTTTTCTTCATTCTGAAATTTCTATGCGGCTTTCATAATTAACACAGTTGATAAAGTTAATAATAATAAGTTAGTAATAATTAACACAATCATTAAATGATACCATGCTGGGAAGGTGTCCTTAAACTAACTGGCTCTAGTTTAAGATGGACACCTTCCTAGCCTAACCCTCCGTAGATAAACCTTACCATGCAGCTTATCAATAACTAACTAGAACAGTTTCGAAAATGGTGTTTTGTTAAAAAAGAGAAAAAAAACTTTAAATTATTCCTTAAAAAAACGTGATTGCATATGACGATAAAACAACGGAAGAACAATCTTTAAACGAATATAAATGAGATTGAAGGCAAAGAAATGGATCTTCTTGAAATTAAAAGAAAAATCTCAAACAGTGGTATTAGCAATTCAGCTTGTGTTTGCTTTTAGCTTTCTTTGATATTCGGCAATTGAATTTAAAAAAAAGAAACTGATATAAGATAATACCTTTGACACTAAGCCTATTCATCCGCAATGATAGCTGACCTATGTGATGAGAACAAAGTGTTTGGCTTAGATAAAAGTTTTTCTTCCAACGGTACTGTTTCCGGATTTCTAAAGCGTGTATATGAGTGGGTGGGTGGGAGTCTCAAGTAACGGATTGAGAGATTTCGTTTTAAGATATTTTTATTCTTATTTTTGCCTTTGGACTACAAATACGGGCTACTATCACAGCGGAAGATGGTCTTCTGTTTTTGCAGCAGAAAATGTATCGGCTTAAGAGATGAAGGCGTTCAGCTCTTTTTAGCTGTTTTTTTTCTCCCTTCAACTATCATTTCACTGTGTATTTTTGTTCTGCGAGAGAAAAATAAAAACTCATGAAAGTATACGTGAATTTATCTTTTTAAAGAGACTTTTGCCACCCCTTTATAACAATTCTTCCCTTTTCCCTTTTTAGTTCTTTTTTCCCTTTTTGGCCCATTCTTGTAGGTATAATGGATGGGGATAAATTGAAAAATGTGCCTTTTGCGTTAAACTCTAGAGATTTCTTTGATGTGATAAAAGTTGATGGACAATAACGCTACTTCAGTGTTGTTTTTTTTTAAAAGAAAATAAGCTATGTATACAGATATTTGATGTGGTTAAATTTTTTCGCCATTTAAAATTTTTTTATTGCAAAATTTTTCTTTAATGGTCAGATATTTTATCAACAACAGCAATCTTGTCATCCCATACAAAATGCTTATCGTACTTTCAGCGTTTAAGCTCTTTTGAGTTTAAAAGTTAAAGTAAAAAGAAACAAAAACATCGCCTTACAGTGGCCGATAAAAGTGTTCAAAGATTAACAAAGAAACTATTGCTTAAGTTTCAACAATTCTTCTTTTTAGGAAAATAAAAGCATTATAGTTTAATCAGCTAATTTTTATATGCTACAGAAAGAGTTAATTTTTTATACATATTAAAAAACAGTGGAATATATTATGCTTTGCAATGAAATACATGTTAAAAAAATATATTACTTTAGAAAGTACTCGTGAAACAAAACATAACTTATACTAATATAATACTTTTAACACTCGTTAAATAACTTAAGTAAACTTTTACATAAATATAAAAAAATTGTTACTAACAATTTGTTAACGAATATTGATAAAGATTATCTTTGGATTAAATACTGAGCTGCAAAAAAGTTTAAATTTTTTTTATAGGCCGCAATGACCTTCTGATATCTTTTCTCATTCCTTGAACAATGGTTATTTTAAAGGATTGTAAATTTATTAGTTCAAAGTATTCTCATAGAATGGAACAAATAAGTCTGTGTTTAAGTCTGATATATAAGAGGGCTGCACTTGTCCGTAAAGAAAATAAGGAATCAGTGTTCTTCATCCTTATCATGAGTGCTTTAGACTATGAGTGCTGGAACACAATCCTATTGAAGGGTTAATTTTTGGATCTTTCAAAATAGGTCTGTAATATGGAAGAAAAAGATTTGTAATATGAAGAAAAAGAAGATTTGTAGTATGAAAAAAAATGTTTCCAACTTATCCTCAAAAATTTTTTTTTCAAATTGAAATTAGAGTTTTTAAAATAAATTAAAATAAATACTCTTATCTTAAGAGAAAAAAAGTTGAAAATCGCTAAAAAATGGTTTAGAGGAAAATTCGTCATCTATGTATACAAATATATGTCAACATTTAGTTCGTTCTTGTCAGCATCCACGTATATATTCTAAAATATTCAACGGGTTACTGCTACAAAGTTTTCAGCACGAGTTTCAGCAAAGTTTTCTAGAGAACTTATTTTGCATAATTTTTTTAGTTTTTTTTATGGCAAAATTGAAAGTTTAAAATGTCGAAATTTTCTTAAACGTCCAATATCAAGACGAACCAACTCTTGAATGATAAAATTAACATGAAAGGATGAAACAAGAAAACGGCGCAGCGTTTACGATACTAAGAGGCGGTAAAATGAATAGTGTTTAGCTATTAACCTCTGAAAACATAGCGAGACATTTCTTTTCCCATTTGAAGTAAATTGAATGATCGAGTCTCTAGAGTCTAACTCTCTTTTAGACAAACATATCACCAATTTTATATTATTTTTCCAGCATGCGAATTTGACCAATTAAATTTTTTTTCATTGAAATAATTCAAAAAAATATTGTAAAGCATGTGAATGAGGTTATTGCCCATGTCTAAATTCTCAGCTTGTTGATAGAATCTACCATGAAAATAGTTTCCTCACAGCAAGAATTATCAACGAAGATGATATCTTGAAATTTAACGAAAGAGTAATGAAATTCTTGTAACCATAGTTTTAAACGATCAATAGCACTAGAGATAGGGGCATTTATGAAGAAAAAGAAACTACGTTAAGTGAGACCATAATTTTGATGGAGAATCGAAAGGTGTCAGCTGTGTGTCAAAATCTAGACAATTTTCAGCAGTATGGGCATTATTAGATGTTAATAGTGAGAAAATACGATCTAGACAGCTGACTAGTTTATAACACAGGGTATCGTGTTACAGACAATAGGTCTAACAGCTCGTTGAGATTTCCAAACTCTGGGAAGGGAAATAATAGTAGTGATAGAATTTAATTATATAATCGAATTATATAGTCGAATTTAATCATTTAAATCGAACATTCATTTCATGTTAAGCGTTAGCTTATTCCTTGAAGTCTTTAAGAAATGTGATTCATAATATAAAATATTTTTTTAATGAAATAAATTTCTGAAAAACCTTTCTGAAGCTAATTTTCTTAAATTTCGCATGTTTCATGAAGAAGTACTTTTTCTGAAATATTTTTCCACAATTAAGAGGAAATCAATCAAATTCTAGTTAAGAAAAATTCTTATTGTTTAAATACATAAGATATGTAGACAGATTTCTGAATGAAATGCATTCTAATGATGATTTCTTCAAATTCATTAAATTGCCATTTTACATGTTCTATAAGTATATGCTTAAATAGAAATATTTCTTCCACAAATAAGAGAGATTAAGAGAAATATAGTTACGAAATGAAGAGAAAGCAGTTAACTAATTATATCTATTTACATTAATCAAGTCACTATTTGAACCGAATTGTAAATGAATGCAATATCAATAGATTTGGATTAAACAATTTTTATTAAACAATTGTTTGCTTTTTCAACTTAATCATATTTACGACTTTGAGAAAGAAAATAATTTTTTCGTCTGAACATTTTTATAAAGAAAGAACCGAAAAAAATGTTATTAGAGTTTACACAACGTTCTAGTAACATGCAGTTTTTGCTCTGAAGTATACGGTTTGTGCTTTAAGGGGATTAAGTAAACTTTGAGAAAGGATTAGAAGCTTAAAGTTAAACAAACTTGGCTAATTAACTCCCATAGCCCTTTTTCAATTATAATTTTTTCGCCAAAGAGAAAGTTTTCAAAATAAAATTTTGCGACAGTTTCTAGTACAATTGAAATCACATTGGATTAAGCTTGGAATACTTTCACACCAATCCAACTAAAAACGTGTGTTTGCTTTTAATTAACAGAGTTGATGAAGGGGCTGAAAGACTAAAAATATTTCGTCTGTATTTAAAGTTGTTAACTTCTATAAACATTATCTTTTGGTTTACTTTAAATTTTTGCAGAAACTCAATTAAACACTGTCTGTCTTTCAGAAAAAAGTACTTTGGAATAACTTCTGTGTAAATAAAATGATTTATTCATCGTCAAAGAAAAAAAGGCAGTATAATATATGAAACTTTAACTTGATTAAAGTAAATTTATAATTCAGCTATCCTCTTTTGATAGCTTATTAATGCGATAAAAATAAAGTCTGGATATTTTACCCATTATGAGGATATTTTTTTCTATCAATATTATGAATCAATATATTGAAACAAAATAACATAAATACAATTTTCTGAAGGAAAAGTACTCAGTTAGTTAGGAAGGTAAGAAAGAATTTTTATAAGAAAATAAAATAGAATATTTAAAATTTGTTTTTCAAAATTTAAGAGGTGGGGCACGTAAGAAAAAATATTTCAGGTTCATTTATTTAATATTGTTTATTTTAATCGCAAACAACTTTCCCATCCTTTAGATATGGGGAAAAAAGCAATAAAAGCATTTTTCAGTTTATAGTGGTAATAAAATATGTTAGTCAGTCAGTGCTTATTCAAAACACGTCTAAATGTTTTCTTGAATAAACACAACTTCGGCTTAAAAGGCTATGTTAAAAATAAAAAAAAATTAATGCATTATTTTTCTAGAAAATGCTTCAAAACTATAAATATCAATAGTTTACTTCAATAAATTTCATCCATATTTCTTATTTTATTTATTTCTGAAATTTGGTAGTACTAAAATGTATGATATTCTTCTAAGGAACTTTTAAGTTGTTAACAATCTCTAATAAACTTCATTTCTTATAATTCCATACATTTTATGTCATACGTTAACCACTCGTTAGAAAAAAAACAGAACATTGAAATAATACAAATTATAATCTAATTTTTAATAATATAAGCAAAATGGAATGCTCACCAATCTTCGTTCCTTCGAATAGTTTTGAGTATGTGAACAGTCACTAGAAATATGATTCCAACTGCAGCAAGTTGTTTGCATGTTCTAAAGTAATAAAAAAAGTATAATTTGTAATCTGTATGGTTCTGAAAATAAAATCTACAAACTCACGTGAATTTAATATTTTAATATTAGCGCATTCAGATTAGACTTAGACTAAGAGGTTGGGCAGCTCCAATGAGCAAAGCACATCGACCAGAGTTCTACTGTAGTCAAACAATAGATCATGACTAGCGGAAAAGCTTTAAAGCTGAAATAAAGTTTAGGAAACACATGTAGTTTCCAGGCCTAACTCTATGTTGTCCCAGATCTATGAGCAGAAAAGATTTTAGACTCTCAAAGAATATATCTCGAAGTCTCCTCCTCAAGATGACAGCCATGACAAAGAAGATCGGGTGCAATACTCATCCGGTGCAATACCCATACCATACAGATATAAAACAGGAAGAAATGTCTAAGAATATTTTATACTTTTGTATTCGTATTTTGTATTTCATTAGCATGTGTTAAATGCACACAGTTTTGCATAAACCTTACTATTAAAAGCATGGTTTATTTATTGTTAAAAAAATTGTAACATGTTGCTAATATAAATCAATTTAAAATACACACACTTACAATTAAATACCTTTATCATAAATGATATTATTACAATTAAATACTTTTATCATAAATAATATTACCATACGTAATATGGTAATATCATTATATTATATTTATTTTAAATTAATTCCATTTTTAGTTTCAAGACTTCAATATTGAATAACAATCTAAATCAATCAAGTACGTAATTTCAGCTGTAAATAATTTGAAGGATGAATAATAAGCATTACGGGTAAATAACATTACATAAATGATATTTTACACTTTAAGAGAAGAACTTTATAATTTTTATTAATTTTATGCTAATAATACTCAACCAAATCTGGTTACATAACCAAAAATAACATATTGTTTCTTATCCCGTAAAAACAAGTTTACAAGAATGAGAAATGGTTTTGTACAATCATGTTTTAAATGCTATAATAGAGAAATAAATAATTCATAATTCTTTTTATACACTTAAGTTTTTCAATTTCTTTTTTATTAAATATCTAATTTTGTGAAGCTAAAAAATTTTGTTAAACTAATCACGAGAATCATTTGTTGCAGGAATAATTTGTTTCTTGAATCTGTAATTCATTTTCTGTAAAGTCAAAGAACAATATTTGGATATTTTCTCTGAAAAGAATACGGCACACTTGCAGTTATGGGCAACTATACAACAAAAACCAAACTTTAACACTCCAGCATATTAAGTAAATTAACAAGTTAGGGTTACAGTGGGTTGTAAGGGTTTTACTAAAAGTATTTCTTAAAACCTAATGGGAAGAAAATACTAACATTCTGCAGATCGAATAAATTTTTAAATGACTTATTTATGCAAAAAATTACTTTAAATCTAATTTTGAAGTATTATGGTTCTCCCAATTTTTCCAAAGCATACTTTTTATTACTAAATCAATCATATTCCACATAAAAACTAATCAATCATCATGAAATCATATTTATTTTACTGAAAAATACTGCTGGATTGAAGATCATATTTTTTTTCTTCATTAAACATGTTTCATTATAAATTTTTATAAGTATTATCTACATCGATTTCTCCTAAAATATATGTATTTCTGTATTTTATTCTTCCCAATTATTGGAATATAATATTTGAAACAGATTTATAGAAATCGTTTTTCGCTCTATCGAATTTTGGGTGCAAACTATTTCAAGAACGTCTTGTGAGGTTTTGAGGAAGGAAACCAGTAGATGTGTCCTAAATCATTTAATAAATAACAGTTTAAACAAAATGAAATGCATTCTGTGCAACGTGTATAATGCGTGAATTAGTTCGTTATTCATCATATATTGTATAAATCAGCAGCGTGTTATTAATTATCACGGGTATTTCGAAAGAATTAAGTTTATTATTTAATTATATTGTAAAAGAAACTTCTGCAAACAAGCATTTGTTTTGATCTTAAAGTGGAAAGTATCTTTGGTTGTAAAATACCTATTATACACTCTAATAAGCTGCTTTGTGATTGCAGAGCTATTTATTTTTCATTGTTATTTTTTAACAAATTAACCACATTTAAGTCCACCTAAATAAATACATAAAAATGATTTTTAATTTGTATCAGTATTCAATAAGCAACATACTCTTTGAAATATCGTTGCGAGCATGAATCAATATTGACAAAAACTTGAACAAATAGTCGAGCAAAAAAAAATATTGAAATCTACAAATATTTTGCCTATTTTTTTAGTTAACATATCACGCAAACCTGACGTACATATAAGCCAATCTCACAGATGTAAAGCTGGCAGAAAGTCAATAATTTTCTCATTTTCGTTCAAATCTTCCAAAGGCAAGAGAGTAAGAGAATTCCAGAGGAAAGAACCATGATGAAATAAAATACAAAAAAAAGTATATATTCGAATCTAGTTTTCTTCTCTTTAGACCCGATGTCGAAAAAGTTAGAATTACAAATCGATGCCCATTCGAACATTCTTTTCTTTGGGATTTTCAACATTCAATCGATTTGCCCCTGGGTCCGAATATCACGACTCTGATTTCAAAGTTTCATCCCTGTTGTATTTATTTTTTCCCTTTAATATTAGTTGACTGCCTATCATGCGGATTCACTAAAAAGTTTACTTGTCTTTTTATAAAGCAATGCGCTTTTTTTTCTAACGAAATATGATACCCTGGGGAGTAAAAAGAAACTTTTTTTGATGACATGTCAAGATTGTTCGTGAGGAGAGATATAGTTTTCTTTTAAGGAACAATAACAAAGGTTCTTACAATTATTAAAGACGACTTTGTTATAGTAGTCTATAATAATAAATATCTGTATAATAGATGTATGTTTAAAAATAAAGTTTAAAGTATGAGGCATTTCTAAATGCGTTTTAATTTTATAATTCAAAGTTGCTAATTTATACTAATTTTAAAAACATGATTTTTTGTGAAAATACTTATCTTGCCCAACAGTTTATTGATTTTTACTCTTACAATAAAATCAGATGTTTTTGAGGCTGACAGGTACAGAAAAATAAACGTGAAATAGAAAATGAGGTTATGTTTTGCACCAAAAATAACCTTATCAATTAACCCAAATTTAAACTTCATTTACATCTCCTAACATCAACCTCATATGTACAGGTTAGCAATACTTTTAGTTGAAAGCTGGAGAAATTATTCAAACCTCAAACATACTTATTTGCTTGAAGGTGTCGAAAAAAATAACCTATACATCTCCAAATCCAACTATCTAAGCTGGTTGAATAAAACACCTTTATACACATTGATTATAATTCTTTGAAGGTTAATTTTTAAGTTTGTTTTAGAAGTCAGTTTTTAATAAATCTCAAATCAACCTTAATGACTCAACCCAACCTCAAATAAATTTCAAAAACATCTTAACTTTTTGTAAAGGGTCGGTAGTTATATTTTTAAAGAAATAAAAAATTCTAAGAAATTTCATTTTGTACTAATACACGTTTATGGATGCAAATGTTAAACTCGTTCTATTACATACGATATTTCTCTCTCCATTAAATGTTAAATTTATTTATTTATTGTGAATCTTTCTTTTAAACACATCTTTCCTGCCAAGCAATGTAATGGAACTACATTAGCCAAACAGAAAAACATTGACAAATGGTCAGAAGATAGATAAAAAAAACTCCGCCAGTCTCAATAACATATAAATGTACATAGCTTTAAAAAAATAGTTTATCTGTTTCATCTTACCTGACTTTGCTATTAGAAAACTGTTTTTATGTTGATTATCGGAAAAAATAGCCATCTTCTTTAAATATAAAAATTTATTTTTTTGTCTATTTAATTATTTATTTATTTATTTGCTAAACTATGGTAATCTGAGTAAAGAATGAAAACATTTCGATAGCATTCAAAGATTTTTTTGTGAAAAGCTAACTCAATTACTTAAAGGTTTAAATTTATTTGATACAGCATGAGTTGCAATGATGACCAAATGTTTTAAAAATAAATGAAAGAAAATGGTGTGTTGCTTGTTATGTTTAAGAAACCAAATATTATTCACAAAATTGTTTAATTCGTTACAAATATCATCAACAGATGACATTGTTAACAAAGAAAAACGATTGGACTTTACATTATTCGGGTTTTAATTTTCCCAATTATTAAAATTATTATTTAAGAAAACATATATTTTATAGATTATATTTAATTATTAAAACTGAATATTACCTTTAAAATAATATTTGTTGTAAGAAAGAGTGCTTTAATTCATATCTTTATAAATTTTTCGTGTATTATTCTACTACAAACATTGCCATCTCTTGATTTTTTGATATTGCATGATTCATTTTATTTAATAAACCTTATGAAACCTTTCGAAACCTTAGGAATTATCTGCTTCTTTATTCACGATTTAGCATTTTTTTTTTGCTATTATTAACTTCTATTTTTCCAATGTAAGCTATTTCAGAACCTTTTAAAATTTATAAATTTTTATATTTTGCAATTAGTGATTACAGTTTTGCTCTTACAAATTATATTTTTGAACATTATTTATGATAAACGGGAAATTTCTTACGAAAATAAATTTACAAAAGAGTAAAATAATCCAGTGATAGCTAGATTACACTATAATTGCAATTAAGAATTTGTGTACCACTGTTCTATATATATATTTCGTATTGTAGCTTATTTAAGATATAGAAAATAACAAACCAGTTTCAATATTTAGACACTATCAATTAAATGAGACCAGCTTATCTTACGCCTTAGACCATAATAAATAGACTGAATGTGTCATACCATTTAACATTTGAGTGTGAATTTAAAAGTTGGGTTTTTATTAAAACTGCTTTTTTAGTGACCATTAAATTTATTTGAGTCAATATATAAATAATTTTCTTTTAAAATTTTCCAAAGATATTTATTACTGTCAATTTATTTTGTTGAAATTAGAAGTATGTAACTTAGTTGCAGAGCATACTAAGTTACATACTTCTGC